ATATACTCTGAAATCTTAGCTGACCATTGCACTATACACATGAGGAAGACCTCACATTTATAAAAATGCAGGCAGAAACAATATGGGAGTCCTTTACTAAATGACACATGACAGAAATGTTCTAGGTGATGTTTGTGAGTTTGGCAGAAATCAGAAAACTTGCTGGCTTAATATCTCAGAGGACAGAGCTCACGGATGGAAAAAGAGCTGAAAATTCCTGGAAGCAAGAGAATCACTGAGAGGATGAGTCCCAAAATCTGAGTACAAATTCTGCTCAAATCTTTGACTAACCGCTGAACTACACAAGGCATGGGGGACAGCTCTAGGTAGCCAGATAAAGCAGCGGCCAGAAGCTGCTGAGAATCGTCTGGCTTAAAATCCATTAATGGCTTCCAATCATACCTGGAATAAATTCCAATATCCTTTCTTTGTCTAGAAAGCACTTCGTAAACTGGCCCTTGCCTCTTCTCTGAGCTCTTCCTTAACCATTCTTCCCTCTACAGATTACCCAGTCTGGCTTTGCTCTTCCTCTAGTAAAGGAAGTACTTCCTGTCTAAGGATTAGGAGATTGCATACTTTATTGTCTGAATTGGAACACTTTTGGGAGTGAGAGGAGGCTTTAAAAGTCATTATACCACGACAACAAGTATAAACCAGGACTGTGCCAGGTAAGAACCTGGAACTAGACTCCTACATAAAATCAAGATCCTGAACAGCTCCAACCTCAGCAAAAGGGTTAATTAGATCAAACGAACTAGAGAAAATCAGTCTACAACATGACAATTCAAAAAGGAAACTTGTCTATCCAAGCATGGGTTATGAATGAAGAAGGTTTTGGGAGAAGCATTTCTACTGAAATTTAGCAACCTCAAGACTAATCGTACATGGATGGAATTGCTATCTAAATCACACTTTCTGCCTGGTTTGGGGCTTATAAACTAAGAAATTAACATAAAAATCGGTCTAAGAATGGGGATACTTCTAGACTGACTTGCAAAAGCAAAGACAAAAACGCTCTGGAGGGACATGACCACAAATAAATGCTTGCTGGAAATAAGCTAATGATCCACAATAAAATGCCTAAAGAAAGTCACAAGGGAGAGTCAGCTGATACAACATATAACTGAATGAGACCTCCTCCAAGAACTTAACATAACAGAATAATCAGACAGATATTATAAAGGAGCCAAAAATTAAGATGATAAAGACATCAAAGGAAAGATTGAGAACATGAGAAAAGATCCAGACATTATGGGGTAAGAGTAAGAAAAAACAGATTTTAAAAAGGTCTATTCTGTCAAAGAAAAACAGTCATTGAAAGTAAATGGATATGTTAAATAGAAGATTAGATATCACTGAAGAGAGATTAGTGAGCTAGAAAATACATACGAAGAAAAATTGCTCAGTGTACATTTCAGACGAATAAATGATTTAAAAAGCACGAAAGACTACGTCCCATGGAGGATAGAAGGTAAGGTTCAGCATAATCTAATAAAATTCTAAAGTTACAGAGAAAACGAGGGAGAAACAATATTTAAAGTACTAACGGATGACAGTTTTTCAGAATTGCTGAAATATGTGCATTCTTAGTTTCAGGAACCATAATGAGCTGTGAGCTCAATATAATAAAATAGATCCAAGCCAACACACAGTGGATTTGAAGAGTGCCAAAGAGAAGACCTTAAAAACATAAAAATAGCAAAGGCATATTACCTACAAAGAAATAACAATTTGGCTCAGAGCAGACTTCTTGAAATGAACAATAGAAGTCGAAAGAATTCTATAGCCAACTAGATTATCATTTAAGAGTGAGGTCAAAATAAGATAATTTTAGACAAAATAAGTTTTTCTCAGGGCTGGTTCACTCACAGCATTCAAGTCTCATTCAAAAGTCTCCATATCAGAGAAGCATTCTTCGACCATCCTGTCATAAATAGCAATCCCCCTTCTCCTTAACATCTACTAGTTTCCATCATGCATTATTTTGTCAGATGGCACTGGCAAAATGTATTTTTATTTGCTCACTGGTTCTTTTATTCCACTGGCCTGGAAGCTCCATGAGAGCAGAGACTTTGTTCTGTTTGCTGCTATATCCTAGCACCTAAAACTCTACCTGGCATATAGTAGGTATTCTATAAATATTTTTGAATAAAGAAATGATTGAATGAATCCTTAGGAAAAGAACTACTAAAAGTTCTTCATATGGTCGAAAATGAAACCAGCAGGAAGATGCATGAAGAAATGGTGAGTGAGCCAAGTGTTAACAAACTTATGGGTAAACTAAACAATTAATGGCTCTCTACAGATGATAATAAAGGCTATAAAGACAAAGTGGAACAAATAAGTAGAGTAAACCAAATAGAAGGAGAGAGTATATTAGGGATGAGAACAGAGATATTAGACTTTAGGTCAAGTACATATGTTAACATTTAAGGTAACCACTAAAGAATATACTAAAAATAGTTGGTTCTTAGATTTTAACCTCAATCCGGTAGGCTCATAACCCTCTCTTGGTTCAAAGCCATGAAAGTACACATTCCTCGTTCTGCAATATCTAACTGCAAGAGGCCAACAGGATAGCTGTATTTTGTCTCTTCTGCCCTGAGGCACAATTGGAGTCTAGCACCAAGGAGGGCAAGATTTAACAGACCAGCACAGAAGAGTCACTTTACAGAGGTAGTTTGGACTGGGAACAAAACTGCAGTGTAGACTAACAACTGGACAGATAAAAACACAATGTGATTCTTTATTGAGAAAAAGGTTTTGGCCACTTATGAGCTCATTAAGCCCCCAAAAGTAAGAAGAGCAGCAGTCTTGACCCTCCTTGGCACCAGGGACCGGTGCTCCTATGAGAATCTAATGTCTGATGATCTGAGGTGGAGCTGAGGTGGTAACGCCAGCACTGGGGAGCAACTGCAAATACAGATGAAGCTTTGCTCGCTCACCTGCTACTCATCTCCTGCTGTGTGGCCTGGTTCCTAACAGGCCACGGACTGGTACTGGTCCGCGGCCAGAAGATTGGAGACCCCTGATGTAGAGGATGACGATTTGCCTGGTGTGAGCATAGATATCAGGGTTTGAGGAAAATCTGGCTATCAGCAGATGACACCCTAAGCCTCTCCAAAGACAGGGCTAGACTTTTGCCCTTCTGGCCTATGGCTGGTTGATTTATACTCCAGATCAAAGGTCTTTTCAACATTCAAGCTAATTCCAAGAATTACAGATCTTTAAAAATAAGGACCAGTGATTTCACACATGCTGATAAGTTACTTTGGCTACAGCCCTTTGTGCATGTGTGCTTTGGCACACACACACAGTTGGAGCTGAATAAATTGCTGTGGAATGATTAAGTATTGATCAGCAGTATTTAGTATACGAGTTCAACCCAGACATACTACCTACCAATCAGCAATAGAAAAACGTGGGAAAAAGAATACATAAAATAGTAAAAACAAAATCAATATATTCTAAGGATAAATAATGTATCTATATGCTGTGTATATACAAAGTCACACCTCAAGACACTTAAAAACATAGGTCAAACATAAAGTGATGGAAACATACGTTTGGGCATGTAAATAAAGTGGGAGAACTATAAAATACAGACACAATGGACTGTAGGACAAACATTTTTCTTTGGGATAAAATATCATTACAGTAAAAATATGGAGTGTCTCAAGTGGAAAAAAAAATTCTAAGTTTTTATATATGGATAACAGACTCAAAATACATAAGGCACAAATTGAATTACAAAGAGAAAGTGACAAACACATAGATTTTCAATAAATGAAAGAACAATCAGACCAACAATTTATAATGTTGAAATATGTGAATAATCTACTTGACAAGCAAAGGAAAACAGATAAGCTTATCAACTTAACAGTTAGTAAAACACATTTTTTTAGCAAAAACAACCACATGCTAAGCCATAAAGCAAATCCCAAGAAACACACAAAAAATTCTTTATCCTATAGACCATCTTCTTTCAATATGAGA